CAATGTATCAGTTTATGGAATATGGGTGACGGTTTTTGCTTTATATTGAAAGCTGATAACATGTGGTGGCAAGAGCCACCCAGTAAAGAAGAAGTATCAGCAATAGAATGTGTGTATGTGAGAAGGGAAAGATGGACACTAAGAATTTAGGGCTTCATCCTGCAAGCTGCTAAGCGCTCCCTCAAGGTGCTGAATACTGCTGAGGTCTGTGGGAATGAAGGGCACTCAGCACTTCACATAAGTAACGTGAAGCATTCAAGATGTTCCATTAAAGTAAATAGGACTGTTCACATGCTTGAAGTTGCACAGGTGCTGAAGTGCCTAGCTGGATCAGGGCCTTACAGAACAGTAGAGGTTACAAAAAAGAGCTGGAAAGAAGATCTGGGAAGTGAGAGCATCGTACAAAGTGAATTGATTCAGTATTTTTCTTTACTTTACTGCTGTGCTCCACTGAGAAGATTTGGCAGTGTCTTCTCAACAACTTGTCAATTTCACTTTGCTGTTTGTACCTGCATGGAGGGGAAATGAAGCTCCTAGAGACAAGATGCAGGAGCACAGAAGTGGTAAGATCCAGAGGCCTCAGTCAGGATTGGGGTCCCAGTGTACTGTACAAACATGTAGGAAAAGAGTTCCTGCCCCAAAGCCTTACTATCTAATTTAAGAGAAAATGCACCAAACAATTGATGGGAATGGGAAAGGGAACATAGGAGGACCAGTGATGAGAACAGATGGTTACATAAATTAGAAGTGTGCACAGCTTGATGGCTCAGAGTCTTTTTTTAATTGTATGATTATAAATAAATAGCTGTCAGCCACCCCCATATCAGTGACAGCCCTTTTGCAGTTGAGTGAAACTATCAGGGGATAGAGGATGGGAGTGGAAACTGAAGAGCCAAATTAGAGAAAAAGATTAGGATGGGGGAGGTAAGAAATGCAAAGAATGATGTATTGCAGAATAGGATGCATGGCAGAAAAAGAATGAAACCTGACACCATAATAATTTATTATGTATTTATTAACATGGGAGTATTTATTTTACCTTTAATCTGCTTTTGTGTTAAGCAATATTTTGCTGACAGTGATGTAAAAAGTAATAGCTAGCTTCCCAGAGGTAATGAACTGATACAAATATTTGTCCTGTGAGTAACAGAGGAAATGGTAAGAAGTGACAGCAGAGAGGCACATTATCGCTTTTTGGTGACACAGCTGAAATCTCCTGATCAGGTAATTGAATAAGTCAGATGTTCAGTCAGAGTGAATTGAAGTGCTTTCAGAATGACATTTAATACAGTCAGCAGTGTGTACAGAAATATCAAAGGTAGAACACAGTAATTAAATTAGTATAGTAGACATTGGTTCTGTTTCATATTGTATACTAGAATTCAAAATATTAATTCTGTGTCCATATGAAGCAGCCAAGGTTTTTTTGAATAGAGGTGCTTGGTTTTATTTTGTTTTGTTTTTGTTTAAAAACAAGATTAAAAGTGGAATTGTGGGAACATTTTCTTAAACCACAGATAGTTATTCAGGTACACCTAATGATCTTGTTTAAAGTACTTTTAAACTTCATTTGAGTAGTTTTGCTTTTTCAGTTGTAGGCTGGGTGGTCGTCCCTCTCTTTCAGTCTCTGAGGGAGGCCACACCTCATTGCTGTTGCGTACCTGTAAAGGTGCTCAACGTGGGGAATTAGCTTCATCTAGTGCTCTGGTCCTCTGGCTGGGCAGAACAGTGCGGCAGTCTATGAGCCCCCAGGCCCAGTCAGGGCAGGGCAGCAAAGCAATGAGTGGGCTCTGGCCTGCAATCAGGGCAGAGCAACAATGCCGTCTATGAGCCCCAGTAGGAGTGAGCTCCATAAAGTCTAGAGGCTCGGGTAAGGGTGAGCACCAAGAGAGTCTATGGGGCTCAGGTAGGGTTGCCTGAGGAGCGCAGGTCTCCAGGCCTAAGGAGGGGGAGGCGGGGATCCGCCTGCAACAAGCTGATCTTGTAGCAGGCCAGCTCTCAACCAGACTGTTGCCTGGCTTCCCTGGGCTGCTTCCTACTGTCCCCCTTTGGTGTACCTGCATCTGTCATCTCAGGGAGCTCTGGCCAGTCCTCAGGTGGCAGCCCCAGCAGCTCCTCAGCGTCTCGGTCGGCCGGCAGCCCAGGGAGATCCAGCTAGTCCTCAGGCAGCAGCCCTGGCAACTCCTCAGCGTCTTGGTCGACCATAGGTCCGGGGAGATCCAGCCAGTCCTCAGAAGGCAGTCTCGGTAGCGCCTCTGCAGGCTCCTGCAGCAAGCGGGATGCGTCGTCTCTTTCGGTGGCTCCACCACAACTGAGCTGTAGGGCCCGCCCTTTGTACTTCCCCTTCCTGTCCCACCTTTCCGCTTCCGGCAGGGTGGACGTGGCTTTCCTGGTTCAGCTCACCAGGGGGCATGTTGTGGTCCCTCTCTGTTACTCTCTGAAGGAGGCCACGCCTCCTCACTACACAGTATGTGGGAAATGGCATTATTTTGGTACTCGCTGAATTCTGTCCCAAATAATTAATGTTGGTACTTAGTGATTCACTCTCAGTTGCTGTTCTCAAAGATTTCAGTGTACATTTAGATTCCATCTCTTATGAGCTGGCATGTTTCTTTCGGGCTATAATGCACTCTTACTGAAAATTTAGACCTTGTATAAGCATGTGCTCATCCACTGAAGCCAATGGAGTTGCATCCATGAGTTTGGATCCTTTTACATTTTGCCCAGAGGGTCAATGAGAGCTCCCACATTGGTAGCCAGAGCTTAACCCTCCTTGTTGAGTTTTGGCTATTTTGGGGACTCAGGACATGGCTATTTTGAAATGTAGTCAGTACTGCACACCTGTATCACTACCAAAGCCTGCATAATTCTTCACAAACCTACAGACCAATGAATCCTACAGATTTTGGAATTGTGTTAGTCCTTAAATATACCTGCTCATGTCTTAAAATCAGGTAGACGATAAACCAGGAAATGCTAGGATAATAAGCCCTTATTTCTTTCTTAGCATTTCTTGTGTAGTACTGTCAGTTTAACAAGTAATAGGTCAAATTCATGATTAAACCAGTGTAACTCCAAATGTATTAACTTCATTGGAATTATTCCAGATATAAATCTGTATGATCTAGAACAAAATGTAACTCCTTGGTTCATGTTCTGAGCTGTACTTCTATTTTATTTTAGCTTTTAATTTGATTCAGAAAGCAAACAATCAGAAAGGGAAGTCTAGGGTGAAGAAAGAAGATATTTTAATGTGATGGGTAGAGAGCTGGGTGATTTTTTTTCCCCAGTGAATAGTTGATTCATCAAAAAATGAAGTTCTTGTCAACCCAAACCTATTCACAGATTTTTTCAGGTCACGTTCAATTTGCTGCATAGCTTCAACAAAACAGAAAAATCAAAATGTTTTGGTCATGTTGACACACAATGTTTTATGCCTTTCTTACAACCTTGAGTCCCGGGTACTCACCTGGGGTGTGGGAGATCTGGGTTCAGTTCCCCCCTCTGCCTGATGTGGAGAAGGGATTTGCATTTCAGTCTTCTACGCTGCAGGAGAGCACCCTAGGGCTCTGGAGCAAGCCTGGTGTGGGACTCTCTCAATATCTCCTATTGAATGTGTTCTACCATATATAAATAATTAAATAGTCATTGGAGCAGGAATTGTACTTGGGTCTCCCCTATCCTAGATGAGCAGTCTAACCATCAGGCTATAGAGCCATTCTCACTCTTTTTCCCTGGCCTAGTAGCTATTCATTGGTATTGACGGTGGCAACTCATATAGTCAGGGAAAGAGACCCAGGAGAAGATATGGGACCTCCTACGTCTGTAAATTAAAGGACAACTGTAGAAAAATGGTGTGATTGTCTTACTATGAAACTATTACTAAGAAGAAAGAAATCGAACATATGGTATAGATTTTAGGTCAAAACCAGGGCTCATTGAAGTGTACTGACTCCAGTAGAGTTGCATTTACTTACACCTCTAAATCAGTCCCTGTGACTTTGCAAGCATCTGTTTAGTTGCCAATGTGAGGCTTCAGAGGGCATGCCTGGAGCCCAAGAAGCACATGTCATTGTTTATGATGCCTTCATTAACTTGTAGTTCACAGCTGGGCCAAACGTCCATTTCAGCAACTTGTGGCCCCCTTCTTGCCTGGGTCCCTGCAAATGGTAAAGCCACCCAGAGCTCATTAGATACATTTTGCAAAACCAAATAAAGGTACTTCAAGGTGAATCACAAAATGTCAATGCTTCTCAGATGGCCTTTGCCCTCTCTTATAATGCAAGCCAGCCATGCAGGTATCTGATCGTATAGAATGGCCCCAGAAAACATAACAGGAAATAATTGGATGAAATTGAGGAAAGGATAAAGCAGGGTGACTCTAAAGAAAAATCTAATTGTGAGGTCTATTACAATGTGAAGTATTGCCCTAAAGGAAGCAGTGGAAGCCTGAATGTTGTCATTTAAAACTAAACAAAGCACAGGACAATGTTCTATAATGAACAATCCTTTGAAAGAGGAACAAATGAGATGACCTATTCAGTCTCTTCCAGTTCTAATTATTGGCATTACTATGGACCTAATGATTTGTTCTCATTTGCTTTCAGTAAGATCATAATGATCAAGTGAACAATAGGAATGAATAAACAAAATACAAAACTTCCTGGACAGCACAGATATCAGTCATAGTTAGGTTTGGAAGAATCCCCTGAATATGGCTTATATTCTTAGGTATTCTAGAAAAATAATCTTCAGAGTCTACTGCTGATACAGGATCAGTGTCTGAACTGCCCATCAGATACTTGGCATACAACGGAGCGGGAAAGTTAGGTGCTTAATATTTTCTATGAAGAACTTAAATACAAGCCCAGAACTCTTCATTATGTTACTTCTTCTGTATTGTCTGAGCTTCCCCAAAGCTACCTTTATCTAGCGTGCCTGCAATGGATTAATGTTTTTGTCCTTCTGATGTTCTGCATTCCCTTTGACTTGGATTGCAGATGGTGGGCAGGAGAATGGCAGAAGTGTTCAACCACCTGTGGCCCAACAGGAGAGAAGAAACGAACTGTCCTTTGCCTCCAAACAGTGGGATCTGATGAGCAGGTATTGGCTGCTAAAGACTGCCAGCATCTGCTTAAACCAAAGACCCACTTTTCATGCAACAGAGATGTTCTATGCCCATCTGACTGGACAGTGAGCAACTGGACTGAGGTAAATGCATGGCAGTCGAAAGAACTAACGCTTCTGTTCTGTCTCCACCTGACTTAAAATTTCAAGGTGGGACGTCTCTTCAGAAGGAATCAGAAGGGAGATGTAAGAAAGAGACGCAAGTTACCAGTGTTCCCATCTCTCCAGAATTGATAGTGAACCTATATAACCAGCTATACACCTAAACCAAAGCCTTGGTCTATACCCAGGTTCAATTAATAGTTCTGAGTTGAAATCTGTCTCTACAATGGGCCAAATCCTAACTCAAAATCTGAACATTTTAATCATGGCGAAAGACTTGGAATTTGAATTTCGAGTTTGGAAGTAGTAAGATGGGGGGTTGGCTCTGAAAAAAAGATAGCTCTAGAAAAAAAGCTAGCTCTAGATATTTGTTTCAGGCCTGTCTCTACAATAAAGGAGTGATGGATAAAAGCAATGATAATGATGCCCCTTCTTCTGACACCAGGTTGCCATTCAGACACTAGTGTCACCCCTGTGCTGAGCAGTAGCAGAAATCTCTAGGGTCTTGCAGGCTGGCTTCTTAGTGGTAACATCAGCCATAACAACAATAACAATACCTCCAAAAATGAGCCTGACCAAATACTTGATATAGACATGCCAAACTTTCTATCCAAATCCAGTTCTTAACTTTGAGGCTTGTTTCTATTTCAACTTTAGCATTTACATAGTGCTTTTCATATTTGCCACGCTTAACAAACATTGACTAGCTAAGTAGCAAGAGCCTTCCAAGCATCTGCATATTCAAACCCTTTCAGAGTCCAGACATCAGCACTGCTATGGAGCAGATCTGGGAGATTTTGTAGCATCTTATATTGGCACACGAAGCTCTAATTCTCGTTTGTAAGCCATATCTCTTGTATTGCAACAACATTTGACCTTGTTATGTTTCCCTTGACTACAGTTGTCTGTCAGAACTCCAGACTGTCTGCACATCCTTAAAGTGGTCAGTAAATAATGTACAGTTTTTTTAGTGGCAGATGTTGAACCATAGAATGAGGTCATCAAAAAATTGCTCTATCAAATTTGTTTTAAAATAGTAGAGCATATCTGCAATGTGTGACTCCATTAAACTCATTTGATATCTACATTATTAGAGCCTTTCATCTCTCAAAGGACTTCACGCTCCTTAGAACTCTGCAGATCCACAACCCTGATCCTGCAAGGTGTTCAACACCTTCTCATCCTACTAAAATCAATGGGAGCACTTTAATTTTAATACAGGACTAGAGCATTCAAAGAGGCACACAGAAATATGGACAGCTACCGTGTCATTCTAAATTCTTTTTGAGTGTCAACCACAGTTTAAGGGCGAGATCTTCAAAGCCACTTATGGGATATATTGAGTCCCATTTCCCATTAAAATAATTGAATTTGGAACATCCAATTCCCATTAAAACTAATAGGAATTAGGATCCAAATAATCTGAACTTTTGAAAATCACAGCCAAAATGTCTGGGTCAGACTGGTAAGAAGGCTAGAATGAGACTAGTTAGTTTCTTCAGAAGCCAGGAATACAATGCCAATAGTTGTCATCTTCATCCTTAATCAAAATCTTGTGCTAGCCATTTAAATTAATTAAAAGGGACAGAACCTCAACAGAAGTAAATGAGCATAGCTCAGGATCTGGTCCCACACGTAATCTTCAAAGTTCTTTAAAGAAAGAGTTATATATAGATTAAATGTATTGTTGCAGCTGTGATCTACAGAGAAAATATGTAGACATTTATCAAGCTCACTGGCCTTATTTACTCAGGATTTTTGGAAATTCCAAAAATTCCAAAGTTCCAGTAATGCTACAGCTCAGCAGGTGCTAGCAATGGGAATAGTGCTTGTATAGAGTGGGGGAATCTGCTCAACATCTTAGATGTCTTTGTACAAATGCAAGGAGTGTGGGTAATAAACAGGAAGGAGTGGAAGTAGTGGAACATAAGCTAAATTATGGCTTTATTGGTGTAGAGAGAGTATAGCTTGTTCAGGAAGGACAGGCAGGAAAAAAAGGGAGAATGTGTATGCAGGTTCTGAGGTCTGGAAGGAGGTGACAGGCAAACCAATTGAAAGAATTTGGGGGGAAAAGAGAAGGGAGGAAAATAGGGGTGACATCATGGTAAGGGTCTACTATAGACCACCAAATCAGGAAGAAGAGGTGGATGAGGCATTTCTAGAGCAAACCAACAGAAATATCCAAAACACAAGATCAAGGAGTAATGGGTGATTTTAACTACCCCGACATCTGTTGGAAAAGTAATATGGCAAAACACAAAATTTCCTTTAAGCTGTTGGAATTTATTGGGGACAACCTTTTTGTTTCAGAAAGGGAATGAAGTTAAGCAGAGGACTTGCTATTTTAGGTTTGATTCTGATGCACAGGGAGGAATTGGTTGTGAATCTGAAGGTGCAAGACAATTTGGTCGAAAGTGATCATGAAATAATAGATTTTATGATTCTAAGGAAAGGAAGAAGTGAAAGCAGCAGAGTAAGGACAATGGATTTCAGAAAAGCAGAATAACAAACTCTGAGAACTGGTAGGTGACCTACCACAGGATTAAATTTGTTCAGGAGAGCTGACAGTTTCTCAAGGAGACAATATTAAAGGCATAACTGCAAACTACCTAATGTGAAGGGAAGTTAGGAAGACTAGTAAGAGGCCCATATGGCTCCATCAGGTCCTATATATAGTGAGGAAGAAGAACTAAGAAAGGATGGCATCGAAAAGGCTGAGGTATTAATGTTTATTTTGCTTTAGTCTTCACTAAAAAGGTAAAAGTTGACCAGGTACTCCACACAATTCATATTAACAACAAGAGGGAAGGAATGCAAGCCAGAATAGGGAAAGAACAGTTTAAAATAATATTTAGGTAAGTTAGATGTATTCAAGTCAGTAGGGCTCAGATGAAATAACTATAAGATGGATGTACAACTGGTTGAAAGACTACTCAAAGAGTAGTTTTCTATTCTAATCCTATCCTCCAAAATGCTACGAGTTATCAAGAGTCAAGGGTGTATCTAGTCGGGTCCTGCCAAGGTCAGTCCTGGGACTGGTACTAGTCAATATTTTCATTAATGACTTGGATAATAGAGTGAAGAATATGCGTATAAAATTTGTGTACAGTTTTTCAACCACTATTGCACCCATCTTATAGTAATTTCATCTAGGCCACATTTCCCTAGTTTGCTTATGAACATGTCATGTAGGAAGGAAAAATCAAAGGCACAAGTACAAAACGAGGAATAACTGGTTAGATGGTAGTCCTGCTGAAAAGAATCTGGGGGTTATAGTGGATCACAAATTGAATGAGTCAACAATGTGATGCCGTTGCCAAAAAATCTAATATGATTCCAGAGTATTTAACAGGTTTGTCATATGTAAAACAAAGGAAGTAATTGTCTTGCTCTACTCTGCATTGGTGAGGCCTCAGCTGGAGTACAGCATCCAATTCTGGGTGCTACACTTTAGGAAAGCGGTGGACAAATTGGAGAGTGTCCAGAGGAGAGCAACAAAAATGATAAAAAGTTTAGAAAAGCTGACCTATAAGGAAAGTTCTGAAAAAAATCTGGGCATGTTTAGTCTTGAGAAAAGAAGACTTGAGGGGGACCTGATAAGTCTTCAAATATGCTAAGGGCTGTTATAAAGAGGATATTAATCAATTGTTCTCCATGTCCACTGAAGGTAGGACAAGAAGTAATGGACTTAATCTGCAGCAAGCGATACTTAGGTTAGTTATTAGGAAAAACCTTCTAACTATAAGGGTAGTTAAGCTCTGGAATAGGTTACCTAGGGAGATTGTTAGGTCCCCATCACTGGAGGTTTTTAAGGACAGATTAGACAAACACCTGTCAGAGTTTTTCTAGTTTTACTTGATCTTGCCTTAGCGCATGGGGCTGGACTTGATGACTTTTCAACGTGCTTTCCAATTCTACATTTCTATGATTCTGTAACCTGGCCACTGGTGTTTCTACCATCACGCCACCTCAACCTGCTTTGAACAGGGTTAGATGAACCAGTGGTTAAACTGCCAATTGTCAGTCTTCACTAGCACCATTGCTCGCACCTGTAGAGCTAGAGAAATGTGGGGAAATTTCAGAAAAACCGCAGCATAGCTACAGTCACTGAGGACCAAATTGTGCCTGTGGGTGTGGGAGGAAGGTAGAAGGAGTATTCTTCTCCCTTTGCATAAGGGCCAGGCTCAATTGCAGACCCTGAACTCATTAGAACACAGGGACTGCTCCCCATGTAATATGCTGGATGGAATGGCACAGAATGGTCCCATGGCCTTTCACGGATCTTTCTGTATTAGGCCATAGAGTGTGCCCTTCAACTGGCATACTGGACTGATAAAGAAAATAAGTTACAACTTACACAGGTTTCCTCATAAAGTATTAACAAAGTATTCATGCAATTCCATTAATTTGGCATCCGTTCTTCATGAATCCATGCTACAAAAAACAGAACAGCAGGGCTAGCTCAGCATGCTAATGGGGCATTTATTGGCAAATTGAGAGAATGCCGTTTTGGCTCCATTTCCTATTCAGCAGGTTTTAGGGAACTCTCCACACTCCTCCTTCCCCTTCTGGTTCTCCTCATAGGGCGTAAGGGAGCAGAAGAATCTAGAAAACTAAGAATAAGGTAGGGACTGAGGCAGAACGTTTACAAAATATGCTGACTGACAGTGATTGAAGCAAAGAGTATGTAGGGGAGTTTGAAACACAGGTTAGCTTCTGGAGTTGGAGGAGGCTGAAGGACATTACATGAAAATGCAGCCCTGGGAGACAGGGAGCAACCAAAGTTGAGCGGACCAGGCATGTTTTGGGTGGTGACCTTTTAAGTCTCTGACATTTCTTAAACTTCGTGTGGGGATTGTGCAAACAGGACTTTAAAATAGTGTGCTCTAAGACTTTCTGTGCAATGGAATGATCCCACTTTGAGATGCTGCCTTTATCATTTAATCTGTATCATTTCTGTCCACCTTGGGTGACATTCACTGTGTACAGTATGTGGGAAAGTATTACAAATCTCCCTTCCATGAAGAACTCCCCCCTAGTAAAAATCAAAATGCTTATTTCTAGGGGAAAACTTTGTTGTTGATTTTGATAAGAACATTGATTTTTATAGATAGATGCACGTTTGGTAATGATGTGTATGAATATGTGGAGGAGAATCAAGAGATAGGGACTGAAAACTGACTATTCATTTTGCAGTGTACAGTTACGTGTGGCGGTGGGGTACGGACTCGTAAAATCAGTTGTGCCAAAAACAATGATGAACCGTGTGATATGTTCAAGAGACCAAATGCTAAGGCTCTGTGTGGCCTACAGCAGTGTCCTTCCACCAGACGACTATTGATACCCCCAGTGAAACCCAACAGAGGAAAGATCATAATCAGGAAGACAGCAGTTAATCCCAAAAGAGGCCCATCAGGCAGAATACCCATCCCTAAACTAGGCCAAAGACACCAGACAACAATAAAAATACCTGAGTCCCAAAGCACAACTGCTTTAGACTCTACTTCCTCCAGTCCTGTCCACTCTTCCAAAAAGGACAACATGGAAAAAAGAACATTACAAAATAATTCTAACAGATCAAATAATGATTATAATTATCCCTTTGTGTTTAATGGAAACAGGTCACACCAAGATAGTACTGTCAGGAATAGTTCAAGTATTGAAAATATAAGAAAAGTCAAAAATGTATCTAACATAGATCTGGACTCTGCTTCAGAAGAGGGCATTGTTCAGACAGGAGGTGCTAGTTGCACCACCTCATTAACCAGAAGTCCAGAAGTAAATCCAGGCTATGATTATTTAACTGAAGAGACTGACAATACTGATCGGTCCATAGAAGGCAATGACAAACCCAGTGACATCCCTAGTGACAAAGGCGAAAGCAGTCCTGCAATCAAAACCAGGAGCAAAACTCCAAACATCAGGTCTCATGTCATTACGACTCCCAAAATCTCACCAACATTTTATCAACATGAATCTTCTACCCAGTCTACTAGTAGCATAGCAGCAGAAAGACTGTCATCTTCAACAACAGTGAACCTAAAAAGTATCCGTGTGCAAATAGATACACCTGTCACAGAAAAGGCCACCACAGAAGAGCTTGTTACAATAAAGCCAGCAATGTTTGATAACATATCAAGAGTCCCGTTTGAAAATGGAACAGAAATGGAACCCTCTGACGAGATAGATTATACCCAAAGCACAAAATCTCCAAGTCTTGAAGATGCTCCAAAGAACCACAGTACAGTTTCTGAGGGGAAATTATCCAATGCCACAGAACTGGATTATGCAAGAATCTCCAATATTTTGCATGGTGATGTGTACTGGATAGTGGGGAACTGGAGTGAGGTAAGTGATTTGTAACTCATAAGATGTGGAGACTTAACTCATTAGTCTGATGCTGTGTGCAATTCTGGTCTCTCGTGTTTAAGAAAGATGAATTCAAACTGAAACAGATGCAGAGAAGGGCTACTAAGATGATCAGATGACTGGACAACCTTCCTTATGAGAAAAGGAGTACTTGTGGCACCTTAGAGACTAACCAATTTATTTGAGCATGAGCTTTCGTGAGCTACAGCTCACTTCATCAGACCTGATGAAGTGAGCTGTAGCTCACGAAAGCTCATGCTCAAATAAATTGGTTAGTCTCTAAGGTGCCACAAGTACTCCTTTTCTTTTTGCGAATACAGACTAACACGGCTGTTCCTCTGAAACCTTCCTTATGAGAGGAGACTTAAGGAGCTTGGCTTGTTTAGTTTAACCAAATGAAGGATGAGGGGAGATATGATTGGTCTCTATAAATACATCAGAAGGATAAACACTAAGGAGGGAGTGGAGTTATTTAAGTTAAGGCCTAGTGCTGACATAGAACAAATGAATATAAACTGGCCATCAATACCTTTAGGCTTGAAATTAGTTGAAGGTTTTGAACCATCAGATGAGTGAAGGTCTGGAACAGACTTCCAAGGGAAGTAGTGGGGACAAAAAACGTGACTTGATAACCTCATCATACCGTCCTCTCAATAAACTTATCTACAATGGCACATGGCCAATGTGTTTGCTATTAGCAAATATCTCCAACGACTAGAGAAGGGACACTAAATGGGGAGGGCTCTTTCCCAGCTGTCTGGCTGGTGGCTCCGGTCTAACTGATCACCATATTTGGGGTCAGAAAGGAATTTTCCCCTTTGTTTTTTTTTGCATCAATTGATATCAATATTTTCAAACAATGGTGCCTGAAGTATGTCACCTACATTAAGATTTGGGCACCTGAACCCACACCTCTCACTGACTGTTTTTAGCATGGATCAGCTACAGTTCGGGCAGCGACAGTGGAAACTTCCTCATGTTGGCCTGCCATTATGCTTCAGCCTTGGTATAGAGGGTGAGCAAGCAGTGAGCAAGTAATTCTAGCTTCCTGTCAACTCAGTCTTGGGACTCTCTGCAAGGTGCAAAATTTGGCTTTTTGGTGGATGATGAGGACTCATGTCCCCTGGAAACTGGACTGGGATGACCAAATTCATTCCATGTAGGACACCAAAGATGCAACATGATGGAGATTTTTGGTCACTATTGCAATTTGTCATCTTTATAATCAGCCGCATCTTCCTGTTTGGTTATTCACTAGTTACAAATTTTTCAACATCAAACAATCAATTCTAATTGTTAATTATCTCCTTCAGTCACCAGCAGTATTGGCAATCAAGAGGAGAAATAGAGTGAGGGTAGGCATGTTGACAACTGACCCTAGAAAAACAGAAGTTGGAGGTCCAATGAAGGGCTGAACAATTACAAAAGAAATGCTGGGCTGCCCTTACAGATTTGGAATGGCTAGTTAAGTGGGAGAAGTTTGCCAGAGAAGAATAGTGCCATAGGCGCCAACTCCATGGGTGCTCCAAGGCTGAAGCACCCACGGGGAAAAATTAGTAGGTGCTCTGCACCCACCGTCAGCCAAGCTCCCTGCCCCCCCCAACCCACCTCCTCCTCCCCCCATGAGTGTGCCGCATCCCCGCTCCTCCACCTACCTCCCAGCCACCACCAAACAGCTGTTTGGTGACGTAGCAAGCTCTGGGAGGGAGGAGCGGGAACGTGGCACACTTAGGAGAGGAGGTGGGGAAGAAGCAGGGCTGAGGTAGGGATTTGGGGAAGGAGTTGGAATAGGGGCAGGGAGGAGGCAGAGTTGGGGTGGGGACTTTGGGGAAGGGGTTGGAATGGGGGCTGGGCAGGGGTGGAAAGAGGCGGGGCAGGGCCTCATGGAAGGGGTGGAGTGGGGGCGGGACCGGGGGCAGATTGCGGGGGTCGAGCACCCAGGGAAAAGCGGGGAAGTCAGCGCCTGTGGTGCATGCTATAAATCAGAAGATTGTTCCTCTTCATTTTCATAGCCAAGCAGAAAAGCTATATGTAATGTTAACTGAGGCAGCTTCTGTAACTTGAAATCTGCTTCCTGAATATCCTGACCTTTTGCAAGACAGAGGCCAATCATTATGGAATCAGGACAATGAAAAAATCATCCACAAGAGGATCTTTGTGTTAAGCAATATGAAAAAGCTGGAAAACCACTGCACTGTTCGCCATGCCCGAAAAGTTAATGCTGCTTCTGGGTGGGCAGCAGGTACTTCATTCCATGCCCATCTCTGAGCATTACCGTTTGTTAATTGCTCTCTGCAGTGAATATGATTGATGTTTCAAATCACATGCAACATCTGATTTCATTCATTTCCTGCTCTCATAGTTATCAAATGATTTATTAATCTGCAACTGACTTCTGCCTTTCATCTCTTAACTGTACAGTGTTCTACCACCTGTGGTGTGGGGGCTTTTTGGAGACATGTGGAATGTAACAGTAAGAATGAATCTGACTGTCAGCACATTAAAAAACCTGACCCTGCAAGAAGATGTCATCTCCGTCCATGTGCTAACTGGAAAACAGGATCGTGGAGCAAGGTAACATCATTCAGCACTATATATGTTAGCAGTAAATTAACTAAATTCAGAAACCATGCAGTTTTATACTTAGATTTAAAATGTCTCACTATTTAAAATAATAATTTACCGAGTGAATGCACACATGATTCCTGGTTGATCTTTCAGCATTCATTTGATAATTTTCTTGCTAGCTTATTTACAGCTAATTTCATTTTGTGTTTATGGTCTGGGTAACCTTTGCTAAACATATGTTGCAAATTCTGTTCTCTCTTAATTGCGGAACTTGGGGGACATGTTGGTTACATCTTGCATGTAGAAATATAGCAATGATCACTTCTTGTATTTTACAACGTATTTCACAGAGATCTCATGAGGCAAAACTACCACCTGCTGTATGCATGCTTTCTCTCATTTTTCTTATGTCTGCAGTGGCATTTCCTGACTAGTCTGCAGGAGGAGGCTCCCACTAGTAGGAGGCTCCCACTTAGGGAGGCGAAAAGCCCAGGCAGCTGGCCCTCACTTCTGGGAGGCAGCTGGGTTCTAGGCAGGGAGATGTGCAGAGGGCTCTCAGCCGCCCACACTGTCCCTCTTCAGTCCTTGGAAGTCCTCCTGGTGAGGACACGCACCACCTACAGAAGGAGGGTGGTGTGGACTGCACTGGCTGTAAGTCGACCTAACATAGGTCAATTTACGGCTGTAGTGTAGACATGCCCTCAGTTCTTACGAGAGCCTTCAAGTCCTCTGTGCAGGGGTGAATTTCACCCTTTTTTCCACTCCATAAATGTCACTGGTTCTGTGACAAGTGGATTATGTTTATATCACAGAAAGAAACTAAAAATGAAGGCTAGTGATAAAGTACTGTAACCAAGAGACATTTTAGGGATTATGAGACATGTCATGTGGCTAATTTGAGGTAAAAATCTCTTCGTAATAAAAATTCCTGCCATATTAGCCACCCTGTTATTTTTTGGAATCTAGTGCTACAAACCAAATTACTCTCTCGTATATAAAAATATGTGTTTGCTATGTGGATTTTTGAGAGTGGCGGTTATTATTCCCATTACTCGTTGTTATTATTGTTGTTATTTATTATTAGAAACATTTATAAAGAACCCATCACAATAATATTGCTGCATTTCACTGCAGGGCAGTATAAAGAAGGCTGGATTAAATCAGTTTTTTTTTAAAGGCGTATGCTTCATTGTTTGGGGACTTGAACCTACAAGTTTCTAGGATTTTAATATAAGGTACCAGAGCAGTGGTCCATCCTGCCTCCAGCATTTATCACTGTTACCAGACATTCCAGAGGAACATGTACTATCCCCACAATGCCCTTGTTTTTCATTACATGATGGTGGGAATTTCCTCCAAACCCTGAATGGTGATTGGCTTATTTCTTACTTGAAAAACAAAGCAGTTTAGAATCTATTGCATGTTTAATTGTGGGGATGGTTTTTATGATGTATTATTACTCTCTTATTATGAGACTTTTTGGAACCAACTGTCAGGGCTTCTTAATTAACAAGGCATTTGTATTACTGGTGGATGTTTCAAACATTCCAGTGATGGTAGGAAATAATTTTGGCATATTCAGATCTGCTGCAATGAGAAACAGTTTTTCATCCTAATGATACATTGCTCCTAAGAAGAACAGGAAATTCCAGTCATGTTTCATGAGGCAAACATTTGCATTCATCCCCCTGAATGTGGAAATGTTAGCCTGTCAGAGGTCTGTGGTTTAAAGGTGTGCTTCTTTCTATTCTGTGCACAGTGCTCTACAAACTGCGGTGGTGGTTTCAGAACCCGTGACGTTCACTGTACTGATGTTCGTGATAAGCGAATTCTACGGCCTTTTCACTGCCAATTATTAGAACATAAACCACAAGTGAGCATTAGCTGTAATACAGAGCCCTGCTTGGAATGGCGTGTGGAGCCTTGGAATGAGGTATTGGCCTATGAAACAAGCAATTAGAGTGAGCCAATAACTGTCAATTATTAAAGTGGCTATTATTACTCATGCTATTATGTGAATTTACTCTCAGAGGACGAGATGCAGCTATTATCTAATCACAGGATCTGCAGCTTCTGCTTATGATCTCAGATCACTTATAATAAATGTAAACCACATCTGAAATACTCATAAATTGGCATACCCTTACAGGATCTGGGTATATATTGTATGTCTACACTGCATAGTAAACTCTGGCTCAGATTCAGGTTTAAACAGAACCCTACCCCCCTATCCCACGGCGCCCCCCCACACACACACACACACAAGGCCTTTTGACACACATCAGAAACCTCTCAGGATGCAGGCCTGTAGACACATCCAGGGGTATAGGTCTGAGCCCATGTCCCGCTCTGGGACTGATCCAAACCAACTCATTTTGCAGCCTGGATGTAGTGGAAGTCCAGGTTGCCAGGCTTATGTTTGGAGAGTCTGCCAATGTTATCCCATAATTCCTTAGACTTGTGTGACCTAGCCCTTCTATACCCAAACTTCCTACTCTGTTCCCAGGAATGGGAAGCACCCTCCTGGGTCTAATACAGCTGTTTGGCATTTAACCTTTCCTTTCCACATGGACTGCTCAACTCTGTCTTGTGTTAGCGATGACCATCACTAAGAAGAAGCCCCACATCCAGCATGCTGCTAGCTGGCCAGAGGAACGCAGCGGGATTCTGGTAAATCTGTGGTGTGAGAGAGCAAGGCCTATGATTTGCGGAAGTGCACAAGAAATGAGCATATGTATGCAAGAATCTTCAAGGGTCTGTCTACATTGCACAGTTAGCCTCTGTCTGTGGAACTTGGCTTGTGGACTCCGCATGTGCTTGAGTGTCTACACTGCATTGTAAACATGGGTTCACCATTGCTGCACTCGGGTCTTGCAGCCATGCTAATTCGTCCATACTGCATTACACAGACCTTCTGACTCGGATCTGTAGTTTGACCTGCATCCACACTGCAAAATGACAGGGTTTGGACCCGAGTCATAATGGAACTCTGGCTATGACCCACCCCCGAGCAGGGACCTAGGACCTGGCTCCAGAGTGCTTGCTCACATGAATCAGACTGATCTTTGTGTGGCTGGAAATGGGACTTGGGCTCAAACTTGAGTCAGAGCCCAGGTTTAGTGTGCAGTTTGGACATACCCTGAGAGGCTGGTAGCATTGGGGATTCACCAGGCCACCAATCAATGCCAGGAGCAGGTCAAGCATCTCAAGACTGCCTATCAAACCAAGGATGAGAACCACACCTTAGGGAACTCCCTGTCTACTTGCCTCCTCTGTGAGGAATTTGATCAGGTGCTGGGAACCACGCCAAGCACACAGCCTCCAGTGGTGAATGACAATCTTCTGAGCAGGAATGGCATGCTTATGACCCCAGAAGCGCAGGCAGCACCGGAGGAGAGCCTGCAGTCGCCAGACCAAAACCCTAAAGTAACCCTGCTGCTGAGGCCATTCCCGGATCAGACTAAGCTGCTGGAGCAGCTACATCACATCCTGGGTCCATATTCGGAGGACCTGTTTGGGGACAGCTCAGGGGAACAGCCCATAGTTGAAACAGCAGTACAACAAGCTCTGGAGCTGGAGGTTGGTATGTTTCGGCTGCCATTTTATGTTATTAATATTAAGAGTGGGAGGGACTTCAGGATTACTCTCTATAAAATTATTTATTCCGAGCAGGGCATTGTAGTGTGCTCCCACTGGGGGCATAAGCCGCGCCATTTCTCTAGCGCCTCAGCTCCTCAGCACCATGTGCGATTCAAAACAGAAATGGAATAAAAAGTTAAGCAATTAGCATTAATGTTTTACTAGGTACATGCTTACTGTTAGAAAGATGGCTGGGGTATGAAACTTTTATGGAGCTTACATTCCTTTTCCTGCAAGTACAGCACAGTTTATAACTCAGCCACATCAAACCATCTGCCACAGTAGAAGTGTCCCAGGCCACCTGTATTGTTAGCCCAAATGGTAGTGGAGGATGTATTTAGTACACTCCAAATGGTAGCGGTGGATTTACTTGGTCCCAGTGCAGGCATGCAGGATGCTTGTAAGGAAGCTATAATGTGTCTTCATCCTGAATCAGTCTTTCGATTTTTTTTTTCATTTTCACCCATTTCTGGCTGGTGATGCATGTGAACTTCTCAAGGAATAGGAATTCCAGACAGCTAGTTAAATTCAGAAAGGCCCCTTCTGCAGGTCAGGAGCCCCCTCCATTCATAAATGTGTTGGTCATTCATCAGATGCTAAAAAATCACCTTCACATCACACCTCACCCACCTTGTCTCATGATTTGTTATTGACAAATCCATGTTGACTGTTACTTATAAACTTATTGTCTGCTAGGTGCCTACAAATTGATTTTCTGTTTATTTGCTCTTTATCTTTTTGGGTATCAAAGTTAAGCTGACTGATCTATAGTTCCCTGGGTCATCTTTATTCCCCTTATTATAGATCAGTACTATATTTGTCCTTTTCCACTCCTCTGGGATCTCTTTCATCCTCCATGAGTTCTCAGAGATCTCTTCAGCCAGTTCCTGTAGTATTCTAGAATGTATTTCACCAGGCCCTGACAACTTGAAGATATCTAACTTGTCTAAATAATTCTTAACTTGTTCTTTCCCTAGTCTAGCCGCAGAGCCTACCCCATTTATACCAATGTTCACTGTGTTAGCCATCTGATCACAGCTAACCTTTCTGGTAAAAACTGAAACAAAAAAGGCATTTAACACTTCAGACATTGCTGCATTTTCTATTATTGTCTTTCCCTCCTTATTGAGTAATGGGCCTATTCTGTCATTGGTCTTTCTCTTACTTCTAATGTATTTGTAAAATGTTTTATTGTTACCCTTTATGTCCCTAGCTAGTTTAACCTCATGGTGGGCCGTAGCCTTTCTAATTTTGTCCCTGCATGCTTGTGGGGTTTTTTGTTTTTTATATATTAATACTTCATAAGTTGACTTAATTTTCACTATTTGTATGACTATTTTTTGAATTTTAGGTCACTGAAGATCTCCTGATTAAGCCATGATGGTCTCTTACCATACTTCCTATCTTTCCTACGCATTGGGATAGTTTGCTCTGGTGACCTTAATAACATCTCCTTAAACTGCCAACTCTCATGAACTTTTTTCCCTTTGACTTGCTTCCCATGGGATTTTACCTACTAACTCTCGGAGTCTTCTAAAGTCTGCCTTCTTGAAGTCCCTTGTCTTTATTCTACTGCTTTCCCTCCTACCATTCCTTAGAATCATGAGCGCTATCGTCTCATGATTACTTTCACCCACCTTCTGCCTTCCACTTTCAAATTCTCAACCAGTTCCTATTTGTCAGAATCAAATCTAAAACAGCCTCTCCCCTAGTCGCTTTCTCCACCTTCTGTAACACAAAGTTGTCTCCAGTGCACTCCAAGAACTTGTTGGATAATCTGTGCCCTGCTGTGTTATTTTCCCAACAAATATCTGGGTAGTTGAAGTCCCCCATCAGCACCAAGTCCTGTGTTTTCAATGATTTTGTTAGTTGTTTTTAAAAAGCCTCATCCACGTCTTCTTCCTGGTTAGGTGGTCTGTAAAGTCCTACCATGACATCACCTTTGTTCTTTACCCCTTGTATCCCTACCCAGAGACTTTCAACAGATCTGCCTCTCACTTCTATCTCAGCCTTAATGCAAGTGTATATATGTTTGATATCAAAGACATCACCTTCTCCCTTTTCCCCTGGCCTCCCCTTCCTGAACAAACTATACTTTTCTATATCAATATTCCAGTCATATGAATTATATGAAGTTTCTATGACACCAATGATTTCATCATTGTGATTATTCACTGCTATTTTTAGTTCTTTCTGTTTATTCCCCATACTTCTTACATTAATATACAGACATCTAAGGTGTTCATTAGAGTTCCCATCTATATTCCCTCTTGTTGTTCTGTCTCTCTGCTATTATTGCCCATATTCCTCCCAGATTTCAACCCTCCACCCAGGTCTCCATGTTCAGGACTCACCTGTGGGATTTTGTCTCCTGATCCCATCAAACCTAGTTTAAAGCCACCTCACTAGGTTAGTCTGTATCCAAAGATACTCCTCCCCTTCTTTCATACATGGACCCCATGTCTGCTCAGCAGTTCTTCTCAGAACAGCATCCCATTGTTGAAGAAACTGAAGCCCTCCTGATGGTACCATCCATGCAGCCATTCATTCATCTCCAGGATGTCTCTCTCTGCCTGGGGCCCTACCCTTGATGGGAAGGATCGATGAGAACACAACCTGTATCCTCAACTCCTTCATCCTCACTGCCAGAGCCCTGCAGTCACTTCTGATCTGCTTAGGGTCATATCTTGCAGCATCACTCATGCCCACTTGGATGAGCAGCATGGGATAGTAATCAGAGGGCCGGATGATCCTCTGCAGTCCTCTGTAATGTCCCGGATACTGGCCCATGGCAGGCAGCCCACCTCCCGGGATGCCTGGTCAGGTCGGCAGATGGATGCTTCCATCCCCCTTAGAAGGGAGTCATGTCATCAACCACCACCACCCTTTGTTTCCTCTTGCAAGTGGTACATGGCTTTTCGGATCCTTCTCAGCCTAGCCCCTCCTCCTATAGTTCTCCCACCTGCTTCCTGAGAGATTTATCTGTTGGCACCTCTCACGCTGGATGGTCTCCCTAACATGGCTTTCTATGACTAGGAAATGCAGGCCACAGTCTCTGCAAATCCACCCCAGGACCTGGGTACAGGCATCCATGGTTGGGTTCTCTGTCTGCACACAGGTACAGGTGGAGCAGCTAGGAGCAGTGTTGGCACTGGCGATGTAAATTTTCTGAACCATGTTGATTTTATCCTTTTTCCCTCCTACAAACTCCTTCTCAAACTCCCCTGTTTGCTAGTGCCCCTTGGTCACTTAGCATCTGGTTTATAAGGCTTTTGCTCCTAGCTCAACACAGTT